CACACACACACACACACACACACACACAGCACCCAGAAAAGCCACCACTGAGTCGGCACCTCTGTGCGCCATAGTTCTAGTTCAAGAGCATTTGGGGGACACTCCTGGCCCAGTGGTTTGTTCTGACATTTTGAGAAAAAAACAAAAGCTATCGCTGCAGGGCACGTGCCTCAGTGGTCCACCCAGCTGAGGGGAGGTCAGGGTCAGGCTCAAGCAGATCCCTCTGGTGTTGTGGCTGCTGCACGCAGGAGGTGGAGGCTTGGGGGAGCCTCAGGTACCCACAGCAGACCCACCCTCCCCAACAGGTGGGGGACAGGTCCTCTAAATCTAGCTCATCTGCATCCTGGTCACCTCAGATGTTACGAATGACATTTAGATTTTTTCTGTCCAACTTCGCTGGGAAACTTCTTTTCGCCTCAAGAGTGTCAGGATAGCACTGAGAGATCTGAATCAGATGTTTCTTTTTTTAGTTGAACCTAAATAAAGTCAGGAATCTCTCTCTCTAACTTAATATCTTCTATCTTTTTCTTTTATTTCCATCTTAGAAAAATGAAGGATGGAAATAAAGATGGAGAAGAAATAGCCTAGAAATTCAGTGCAAAGAGAGGTGTTCATATGGACACCACCTGCTGGGGACACAGATCAATCACTCTGGGGGAATAGAAGGATCTCTAAAAGGAGCTGAAGGTGTGGCAGGCAGGGAGCTTAGGGAAAGCCCTCAAGGCCCAGCCTGACAAGACTCTGGGCCTGCCCACCTGGTGGTCACACGCAGGCCTCGACAGTGCAGGGGCCAGGCTCCCTCAGCAGGGGACCTGCCACCCAGGGAGGAAGGGAACCAAGGCGGTACGAGGACAGTGGTGCGTGCGCTCAGAGAGGTCGGCTCCTCCGGTCACCCGAACCCCATAGATGCGGGGGGTGAGCTGTGACAGGCCACCTGCTCACATGTGTTCTCAATGGTGAAAGCTGTCAGTTCCCGGATGGGGCTCAGTGGGGCTGGGGACATCAGACATGGGCTCAAGTTCCCCAGAGAGAGGACAGACACAAGAGGGGACAGAGAAATGGGCTTCACAGGGCGTGGCATGATTGCTTTGAGGCTAAACTTTCCAAAGGGAAGCATCGGAGTTTCTGTTCTGACTTAAGACGTTCTGACGGTTCACGTTGGGCTGCCCCGGAGAAGGAAACTTCGCATCCCGCGTTCTCTCAGTTCCCTGTGTGAGAGCCACCAGGGTGCACACGGTGTCCGCCTCCGGAGCCCCCAGGCTCCCTAGTGCAGTGGCAGCCCCCCC